CATGTAAATCCCGCTGGATTCACCGCCGGCGTTCACTTTCCTCCCACGCAGCTCAGAATTCTGTGTTATTACATTTCTTCTGTCCTCCCGTCATGGCGGAGCTCACAATGAGCGGCCGCTTCTACGCCGTGAAAAGGAGAATATTATCAATTACAGCTTTATGGGGGGAAATGACTTCCGTTTTATAGTTTGTATTCATCTCCCCGTGTGGTCTGCTTTCCGAGGGAGACCACCTACTTCAGGAGAGTCATAGAGGAAGGAGCAGAGTCCTCCAGCAGAGCAGAGTATATCAGGAGAGGAGAGTTATAGAGGAAGGAGCAGAGTCCTCCAGCAGAGCAGAGTATTCCAGGAGAGGAGAGTTATAGAGGAAGGAGCAGAGTCCTCCAGCAGAGCAGAGTATATCAGGAGAGGAGAGTCTCATAGAGGAAGGAGCAGAGTCCTCCAGCAGAGGAAGGAGCAGAGTCCTCCAGCAGAGCAGAGTATCTCATGAGAGGAGAGTTATAGAGGAAGGAGCAGAGTCCTCCAGCAGAGTATTCCAGGAGAGGAGAGTTATAGAGGAAGGAGCAGAGTCCTCCAGCAGAGCAGAGTCCTCCAGCAGAGCAGAGCATCTCAGGAGAGGAGAGTTATAGAGGAAGGAGCAGAGTCCTCCAGCAGAGCAGAGTATATCAGGAGAGGAGAGTTATAGAGGAAGGAGCAGAGTCCTCCGGCAGAGCAGAGTATTTCAGGAGAGGAGAGTTATAGAGGAAGGAGCAGATTCCTCCAGCAGAGCAGAGTATATCAGGAGAGGAGAGTTATAGAGGAAGGAGCAGAGTCCTCCAGCAGAGTATCTCAGGAGAGGTTGTCATGGGTCTGGATTTGTGAAGTTTCATGTCCTGTCTCTCTTGTCTTCTATTTCCTGTCTCTGTGACATCACTTCATGTTTTTTCCTTCTTGGCACACAGGGTCTCTGAACGCTCGAAGCAGCAACGAGGATCGATCCCCCGAGAACACCGGCACCGCCATGGTCGTGGACAGCTTCCCGGAGGTGGACAAGGCCGTCCTCATTGAGCGGATCATCCGCCTGCAGAAGGCGCACGCCCGGAAAAACGAAAAGATAGAGTTCATGGAGGACCACATAAAGCAACTGGTGGAGGAGATTAGGAAAAAAACAAAGTACGTATGACGCCGATCCCCCCGGATGTCACCCGGCGGGTTTCTGTCTCTGCTTCTAACATCTCTGACGCTTGTGCCGCCACTAATCCACAGCAATGTCTCTTCTCACTAATCTCATGTCCTCCGCTCAGCCGCCCCTCCCCCGATGTACTAAAAATGGCAAATATCGGTGATGATTCTTCTCCGGTCCTCTCTGATCTTCTCCTAATAGCAATTTATCATTCGATCTTCTGGAATTATGATTTTATGACCCTGCGGGGGCCCCCCAGCTCTTCCCCACCAGTTGCCTCCGGGTCTTCTCCATTCTCTGTTCCATCTCATTGTTTTCTGTTCCATCGATTAACAACAATGTATCGTTTCTGCTTTGCTGGATGACGAGTCCACACCGGCCTTCCTCAGCCTGGGTCCCCCTAGAGGTTCGGTGGGTTCCGTGATCAGGGAGCAGGGGCCGAGTCATCTCCAACCCACAATGATGACCAATGGAAGGGGGCATTTCTCCACTCACCACCAGGCCAGGGGGCATTTCTCCACTGACCACAGTACGAGGGGGCATTTCTCCACTGACCACAGTACGAGGGGGCATTTCTCCACTGACCACAGTACGAGGGGGCATTTCTCCACTGACCACAGT